TTTATATGTTTTATGGATGGCCTGATAGCCTAGTGGTTAAGGGAGCTGGATCCCACACAACTGATCATGGTTCACATTCCACCGTTGGTGGCTTGAAAAACATGCCAGAAGCATGTGCATGCATGCCCCAAATCCCAATGGGATGGAGAAATGGAGGAGAAGGGATTGCAGTGTGGCCATGTTCCATTGTGGGGTTTTCTCTCTCTCTCTGTCTCTCTCTCTCTCTCTCTGGCAAGCACACACACAACAATGGCAATTTTTAAAATTATTAGTTGAAATAGTTTTTATTTATTCCATAGGAGAGAGGGGGCAGGCACCCCAACCAGGTCTTGGCACTGCCACTATCCACTCCCGGCTTTGGCCAGCCAGGATCATTGGCACAGGCATGCAGGCCCAACTGTGCGCGGGAAAGTGTCAGGATGCAAACTAGGGACCTTCCTACGTGGGTCCAACATCGCACAGCATCACATAGTGTCACAGAGTGTCACACAGCATCACACGGTGCCACCCCAAACCTGCTCTTATAATCCACTCCCATAGTAACAACTTTTTAAATTATTATTTTCTTTCTTCTTTCTTTCTTCTTTTTTTCTCTTTCTTCTTTCTCTCTCTCTCTCTGTCTTTCTTTTTTCCTTTCTTTCTTTTTTTCTCCTTTCTTTATTTTAATTTGACCACAGAGGGACAGAGCAAGAGTGAGAGACAGAAAGGGAAAGTGAGAAAGCAAACCACCAAGTCTGGGACTCAAACAGCGGTCAGTCACCTGGGAGTCCAGCACCCTTAACCACTACGCCACCTACTGGTCCCCACAGTAACAACTTTAATCTGTTTATGAGGGCAGAGCCCACAGACGTAATCACCTCTTAGTAGGCCCCATTGTCCAACACTGTTGCATTGGAGGTTAAGTATCTGACACACAAACTCTGGGGGACACATTCAGACCACACAGTGAGTGTGTCATAAAAGGGTGAACTTTAGGGGCCAGCAGGTGGCATAGTGGTTAAGGCACTGGATTCCCACATGGTTGACCACAGTTCAAGTCCCAGGCCCAGCCACTTGAAAATCATGCCAGGCACAAGTGTGTTTGTGCCCAGAACCCCAAAAGGAGAAGAGAGTGTGCAGTGTGGCCTTCCCCCTGGGGGACAATTTCTCACTTTCCCTCTCTTTGTCTCTCTTTGGCAAGTGCAAACACCCTAAGACAAAGAGAGAGAGAGAGAAAGAAAAAGGAAAAAAGTGAATTTTATAGTATGCGAATTATATCTCAACGAAAAACAAAGGAGGAGGAGGAAGAGGAAGATAATTGAGAAGAAAGAGAAGGAAGGGGGATGTTGGAGGGGTGGGGCACAGAGAGAAGGAGAAAGAAGGAGAGTGGATTAGACCCAAGGATTTGAGATATATTGGGTTGTTGAAAAACTCATGATACATTTTTGCAAAGAAAAACATAGAAAATGCCGTGAGTTTTCTGACAACCCAACATTTGGAGGGACGTGAGGGCGGGGCAGGGAATGGTCCTGACAAGTCCCCACTTCCCTCACTCCAGTGACTGCGAGAGAAACTGAAGCACCTGCCACTCGGAGCCCATCGCAGGGAGTTATCAGCTCCCTAGTCTGAGCCACTCACAGAATAGAAAAACCACCCAGTACTAGGGTTCAGAAAGTCTCAGAGTTTGGACCAGCCAGTGGCATGGTGGCTAAGGCAGCTGGATCCTACAAGGCCAATCATGAGGTTCAACTCCCAAACCTGGCAGTTTGAGAAATATACTGGGCACTTGTGTGTGCATGCCCAAAATCCTGAAGGGAGGGAGAGATGGAAGAAAAGGGATTAAGGTGTGACCATTCCATACTGGAGGGAGGGTGCTTTCTCTCTTTCTCTCTCTTTCTCTGTCTCTCTCCAGTGAGTGCACAGGTCCTCTGGCCAAGAAGATGTAGAAACAAAGTCTCACAGTGGAAGGCTTCTGCTCACTGGCTTATTGCTTTGTGTCTTTAAATGAGTAGTTTGCCTTCTCAGGACCTCCGGATGTAACTGGGTGATGAGTCTGCCCCAAGCTGCCTGCTCAGCAGTTCTCAACGCGTTGTTGTAACCCGAGTATATCATGACAGCCGTCACACAAGTGACTTACCCCCAGTTTCAGCTGGCCCAGATCACAGCCTCATGTGCCAACAACTTCCAGAGTCCGCACGCTGCCTTCTCCGCGTTGCTCCAGAATCCCCAGGTGAACCTGACTCTGCCCCACCAACCCCAGCTCTTAAAAGAACAACACAGCCCCGTTTAAGATGGGCGTTTCCCCTCACTGACCTCACGTCGGCCCATTGCTTCTTGAGCCCAACCTTGGCCCAGGTCCTCCTGCAGGGTCATTCCAGTCTCCTGGCCTTGCTAAGTTCATACCTGCTTCTGCCTGATCCTCACAGGTGACGCACTCTCTGAACCTGTTCCCAGGGCTGAGGATTTGTGAAGTCTCCATGAGACAGGCCAGCACTTGAAGTGTCTCACTGAGCCTTGGCACATAGCAACGTCAGCAATTGTTGGGGTTTTGTTTGGTTTGTTTTTAATTTTCCAGAGAGTGTGTGCACTCACTTGAGAGAAAGAGAGAGAGAGAACGCGAACCCCCTTGGGGCACAGTCATGATGAAATCCCTTCTCTGTTTCCTCTTTCAGGATTTCAGGCGCGCACGTGCACACACACACACACACACACACACACACACACACAGTGTGTCTCTTACGGCGCAGGGTCTGGGACTTGAACCACATGGTTGGCCATGTGGGATCTAGCTGCCTTAACCACCATACCACAGACTAGTCTGATTTATTTGTTTAATTGCCAGAGGCTGTGTGTACTCACCAGCGAGACAGAGAAACAGAGAGGGAGAAAGCGCCTCCAGTGGGGCATTGTCACACTACAATCCTATTCCCTCCATTCCTCCCTCCTGGCCAGTTTTTCAAGCTTCTAGGTCCAGGATTTATGCCACAGTCAGCCATATGGGATCTGGCTCCCCCAACCACTAGGCTATGGGCAAGTCCTTGTTTTTTGTTTTGTTTTGTTTAGTTTTTTAGAGAGAGGTTTTTTTGCTATAGGACATGTGCGCTCACTGGCAAAACAGAGACAGAGAGGCAATGAGAAAAATCACCCCATACCACAATGCCTTCTCCTCCATTATTCTCTTGGGTTATTGGGCACACACACACACACACACACACACACACACACCCGGCATGAGTTTTAAGCTGATGGGTCTGGGACTTGAACCATGGTCAACTACATGGGAGTCCATAACCATCATGCCATCTGCTGATCTCCTTTTTTTTTTTTTTTTTAAGTTTACTTATTGGGGCCAGCAGGTAGCAAAGTGGTTAAGGTGCTGGACTTCCACATGGTCAACCATGGTTCAAGTCCCAGATCCAGTGGCTTGACAGTCATGCTGGGTGCATGTGTGTGCATGCCCAAACTCCCAGGAGGAGAATGGAGGAGAAGGGTTGGTGCCCTGACTATCCCCCTGGGAGGTGATATCTCACTTTCTATCTCCTTGTCTCTCTGTCTCTCCAGTGAGTGCACATGTCTTAGAGCAAAATTCTTCTTTAAAAATGTTTATTTTTTTATTGATGAGTAAGAGAGAGAGAGAGAAAGAGCACCCATGACCAGATCCCAATACCCCATCCTCCCCTAACCCCAGCTAGCCTTGAATCATGGGCATACAGGTGCTTGGCAAACTCAGGGAGGTCTCTAGACACAAACCTGGAACTTTCCTATGTGGGTCAGCCTAGAAGAATATCACATTTTACCACTGCGCTATCGTCTGGCTCCCTTTTTGTATTTTAAAAGCTATTTTATTATATGCTATTTGGTATTTGCCATATAATACATTGATTTTGAAAACATCGTTTGAAGACCTACTAAGTACCATGCTCTGTTGTAGGTGCTGGGTTTGGAGCAAGACCTAAGACCAACTTGCTGCGTTCGAGGCGCTTACCCTGTAGAGAGAGAGCTAGACAATCCACACAGGAAAGACGGACGCTATCTGTCTGTCAGACGGTAACAAGCTTACCAGAAAAAAATAGAGTGGGGAAGAAGCAAAGCAGGACAGAGTGGGTAGTGGGGGGGGGTGCAATTTTAAATTGGGGGTGCAATTTTAAATAATGTGACTGTAAAAAGCTTCATTGAGAAGGTGACTTTTGAGCGAAACTCCTGACGTACAAGTTATAAAGCTTACTCACATGATAAACGTCATGCGTGAACCCAGCCTGCTATTTTATGGGCTAGAACATTATCGCTCCTGACTGAAGCTGGGGTTTATTGTCGTCGTTGCGATTGCACTGATTAGAGCATTGCTTCTCAGACTTCATTGTGTCCTCACCTCACCTGGGGAATATGGGATTTTTTTTTTTAAAGTTGTTTTTAAATTTCTTCCATGAGAGAGGGAGAGAGACAGCCAGACAGGCACCCCCAGTAGCATCTTCACACTGTGACTTACCCCCAGCTTCAGCTGGCCCAGGTCACAGGCACGTGCTCACCCACTGTGCTCAGGGAGGTCCCAGGATGTGAACCCAGGCCATTTCCCACATGGGTCCTGTTACCACTGGCACCACCACCTGGCCCCTCACCTGGAGCTCTTGTTATACGGCCAGCAGGTGGCGTAGTGGTTAAGGCACTGGTCTCCCACATGGCCCACCGTGGTTTAAGTGTTGGACCCGACAGCTTGAAACTCACAACGGGCACATGCGCGTGCATGCCCAAAATCATGAGAGGAGAAGGAATTGCAGGGTGGCCATCCCTCCCAGGGAGTAATTTCTCACTTTCTCTCTCTCTGTCTCCCTGGTGAGCATACATACCCAACAGAAAAAAAAAAAAAAAACTCCCCTCTTAAATTAAAAAATAAACAAATAAATAAAATGTAGATTATAATTCAGTGCTTTCAGGACCAGGCCTGAAGATCTGCATTTCCAACAAAGCTTAGGCCTTTGTGTTATTATTTTCATATTAGTATTTATTATATTTTCATTTCTCCCTTATGGCCTACCCCAGCTTCAGCCATCTCTTCAGATGTCTGTCTAGCTTCCTGTCTCCACCTCCACCAGGATGCCTTCCTGGCTACCAAGCCTCACATTTCTCTCCCTTCTCCTGAGTCCAGAAGCATTGTTCAGCTCAGATGTCAGGAGGCTTGACCACACACCCTCTGCGTGACCTCAGGCAAGTTATTGACCGACTCTGTGCCTCAGTTTCTCCATTCTGAAAATTAAAGACAATGGCTTCTTTAAGACGCCTTCTAGCTTGGACCATAAATCCAACTCTGTGTGTTTGTGTGTGTGTGTGTGTGTGCGTGCGCGTACATGTGTGTGATGTGTGTGTGTGTGTTTGTGTGTGTGTGTGTGTGCGCGCGTACATGTGTGTGATATGTGTGTGTGTGTGCGCGCACACGTGAGTGTGTGTGTGTGCACGTGTGTGTGTATGTGTGTGGTGGAGGTGGGGGGAGGGCTACCAACATCTGAACCTCTTTCCTCTGTTTGGAGGCTTGATCATGTAGAATAAAAATAACAAACTTTTTGGGCTGGCCGGTAGCATGGTAGTTAAAAGTGCTGGATTCCCACATGCCCATCTGTGGTTCGAGTCCCAGACCTGGTGGCTTACTTTCTCACTTTCCCTTTCTCTCTCTTTCTGTCTCTCTCAGGTTAAATGTTTAAAAAGTAATGATAATAACAAATGGAATTAAAGAAATAAATCATTATTTTCTTAAAAAACAAGTAAAAGAAAAATACCAGACATTTTTTTAAAAGAGGATTTAGTTATGTAGATAGAGAGATAGTGGGGGCAGGGTAGCCTTTTATTTATTTATTTATTTATTTTGAGAGATTTTTGTTATAGAGTGGACGTATTCACCAGAGAGACAGAAAGACAGAACTCACCTCTGGAGGGATGGCCACACCTCAATCCCCTCTCCTCTATTCACTTTTTGAGATTCTGGGCACACATGCACACATGCCCAAAGTGAGTTTCAAGCTGTCGGGTCTAGGACTCGAACCGTGGTCAGCCATGTAGGAGCTTAGCGCCTCAATCACCTGTTGACACCATTATCTGATTTTGAAAGTGCATTGACTTTATTTCTTCCATGAGAGAGACTGTAAGAGTGCATGCATGTGCAAAAGTATGTGCTTGCATGACAAAGAGGAGGGGGTATCCTTGACAAGGTCCTACCACACCACGATCCCTGCCCCCAGCCCTCTGGCCAGTCAGGATATGGGTGCTCACATACCTGGTGTGTCTCAGGTCAGCTTGGGATTCGAGCTCCTGGTCATCCGTGTGGTCTGGCATGGCAGCTCAGTACTGTTCCCCTGCGCCACTCCAGAAACTTGTCACCAAACCGGATGGTCCGGAAGAGACCTCCTGAAACATACGATAAGAGGTTCCTAGAAGGGGGATGGTGGTGTAGACCTGTGTGACCTCCAGTGTCCAGCAGGGGCAGCAGGCTGTGGCAAAATCCTTAGCTCTGGTTCCAGGCAGCCAGCCCCTCTAGCGTCCTGCCAGTTTTCTGATTCTGTTTCTCCTGCCAGTCCTATAAGCGTCCAGATATCTTCCTAACCAATTCCTTTTTGCCTAAGTTTACCTAGCATTAGGTTCTGGTTCGGGCACCTGAAAACCCTAGTGGGGCTCAGATCTTCAAGGTATCCTGTAATATGACGATGTAAGTATGTCTCTCCTTAAGGAAGTTATGACTTTCGGTTGTGTACATCCTATGTCTCCTCACTGCCAAACTGCCCTCCCTGGAAAGAGATATATGAGGGCTCAAGGGGGGATGACCACACCACAATCCCTTCCACTCCATTCTCCTCTCAGGATTTGGGGCATGCATGCACTTGTGCCTGGCGTGAGTTTTAAATCACTGGGTCCAGGACTTGAACCATGGTCAACTACATGGGAGTCCAGCGACATAACCATTACGCCATCTGCTGGTCCCTGTTTCATTAAAATTGTCTCTTTGGATCCAGGAGGCACTTGAGTTCTCACCCCTTGTTTAGGTGAGCAGAATGTTCTGGCCCACATCTTGCTTTCCTGAAACCTGTCTGAAGGTCACAGGCGGCACAAGGATATGGCACAGAGAGACAAACACAGGTGCAGGAGTGGTTTACTAGCTGTGCAACCTGGGGCACGTCTTTGACGTCTCTGAGTCGTGGTCTTCTCAACTCCAAAATGGAGATAATAATTCATGAGAATGTCATAGGGCAGGGCCCGTAGCCTGGTGGTTAAGGGAAGCCAGATCCCACAGGGCCAAACACGGTTTGAGTCCTGGCCTCAGTGACTTGAAAAGCAAGCCAGGCACAGGTGCACACATGCCCCGGATTCTGAAAGGATAAAGTTATGGAGGAGGAGGGATTGCAGTGTGACCGCACTCCACTGAGGGAGGGCTTTCTCCCTCTCCCTCTCTCTATCTCTATCCAGTACACACACCCTCTGACAACTAAAAAATAATAAAACAATAATTTCATAAAAGTCCAGTGAGAGACCCAGCAGGTGGCATGGTGGTTAAGGCAGCTGGATCTCGCATGACCAACGTGGTCAAGGCAGCTGGATCTCGCATGGCCAACTGGGTGGTTCAGGTTCCAAATGCACACAGGCATGTGTGTGTGTGTGCCCACAAACCCCAAGAGGAGAATAGAGGACAATGGACTGCAGTGTGGACATCTCCTCTGGGGGGGGTACTTTCACTTTCCCCCCTCTCTCTCTTCCTCCCTAGTGAGTGCGCGTGCCTGATCTCTCTCTTCCTCCCTAGTGAGTGCGCGTGCCCGATAGGGAAAAAGAGAGAGAGAGAGAGAGAGAGAGAAAGTCAGCAAAGCATGATACAGAGGAGGTGTTCACTACCCATTTATTGAAGAGTTAGGGGAGGAATTCATTGGCAAGTCTTGAAGATGCCACCCAAAGAAAAAAGTGGTTCTGGAAAGGGGGGGTGGGGAGCAGTGTCTGGGAGCCATAGTGCTGACAAGAAGACGCAGGGTCCCAAAGGTGGTGGCATCGCAATGAAGGTAGAACACATTCTACATGAAAAACACGGCGACATTATGGAAGCCATGGGAAAGCTGAAGTCTAGAATGAGCTTCAGTGAAGCGGCCACACAGTATAGTGAAGATCGAACCAGGCAAGAGGGCCACCTGGGTTGGATGACCAGAGGGTCCCTGGTGTGACTGTTTCAGGAAGCAGCATTTCCTTGCCGGTCAGCAGGATGGATAACCCTGTGTTTACAGACCCACCAGTTAAGACAAAATTTGGGTATCATATTATCATGGTGGAAGGGACAAAATAAAATTACATAAAATTCTGGAAGAAAAATAAAATGAAAGAGGGGATTCCAAGATCTGAAATTTGGAAGGACCCATTAAGATGCTTGGCTTATAGTGGGTTCTTGCAAAAAATATCTATTCTCTTTTTTAGTTTCTTGACTGCTGGGCAGAGTTCCTGGGATTTGGGGTTTGGCTGGACCGAAGCTGAGTAACCAGGCCATGGTGTCCTTCAGACAGCCCAATGGGCCAGGAAGAGACCAGGGCCCTAACAGCCGCAGAATACAGAAATTATGAGTGGGTGGGCTCAGCATCTCATGGGATATGCCCAGCCACACCCCCCGATATGCAGTGGGACCCACAGGCTTCTTGGGAACCAAATGACACCCTGTCCAAGTCTCTGAACCTGGGATTCAGACAGGTCCAAACCAGCCCGACAGGCTTGGCAGGAGCAGACAGAAGCCAAGCAGAGGGAGGAAAAGGGCCTCAGAGGGGCCATCGCAGGAGGAAAATATCTGTCAGAGAGGGCTTGAGGTGGGGCTGGGCCTGGAGATCGCAGAGAGAGGGGGTTCAAGAGACAATTGGGACCTGTACTGGAAATAGACCCACAGGGGCCTCACTAGTTCTGGGATAGCCAGGGCTGTGGTGTGAAGAGGAGGCTCACTTGGGGCTCGAACAGGGGCTAAACAGCTCTGCCCAGGGATCATCTTCAGAGAAGCTCAAAGAAGGCACTTCTGGGGTCTGGCCAGAGAGAGGGGTTGGCAAAAGCCTCCTAGGTAGGCAGGCAGGCCCTGGAGGGAGGTCAGGCGGTGCCTGAGACCTGCAGGCAGTGGGCAGAGGGCTTCAGCCAGGGTTGAGCCCCCGCTTCCGGACATAGAGAGAGCCCAGCTCAGAACCCAGGGCCCCACTGGGACACCTGGTGAAGGAGACCCACAGAGGGGACAGGACTTCCTGCTGGCCAGCTAGGGGTGGGGGGCATCAGCACTGTAGGGGAGGCTGTGCAAGTGGCATCTTTAACCTACTCTCCGACAAGTTCTGTTCCAGGCAAACAAGCACAGCAAGTAAGAGTGTCTACGTCGTGGTCTGGCTTTGTGGCGCAGTGGTAATGCACCGCTTGGGAGAAGCTAGGTGCCATATGGTGACCATGGTTTGAATCCCCAGCCTGGTCAGCCTGGAACATGCTGGGCATGTGCATGAGTATCCAGGAGCCAACAGGTGCAGACCTAGAGGAAAGGGACTGAGGTGTGACCAGACCCTGGGGAGGGTGCTCTTCACTCTCTCACTTTCTCGTGCACATGCATGCACTTTGTCATAAACACATGTAAGAAATAAGACTTTTTTTGGGGGGGGAGAAGTTTTTGCTACAGGGCGCATGCGCTCACCAGAAAGACAGAGAGAGACAGAGAGACAGAAAGTGAGAAATCACCCCCCAGCGGGGATGGCCACACCACAATCCTTTCTCCTCCATTCTCTCGGGATCTTGAACATATACACATACATGCTTGGCATGAGTTTAAGCCACCAGATCCAGGACGCGAACCATGGTCGACTACATGGGAGTCCAGTGACATAGCCATTTCACCAACTGCTGGTCCCAAAAAATAAGAATTTAAAACAAAAGAGCGTCCAGGGCAGCAGGGAGGTTAATAAGAAAGGTAGCAGATGAATCGAGGTAAATTCAATAGTGATACAGGAGTGGGCCCAACGGCCAGAGCAGGCTTGGTCGTTTGAGTTGCCATGGGGTGAGCGAGGTGCAAAGGGTGCCATCCTTCCCTTTTCTTGGGCGCCTCTCCCAGGTCTTGCCTTGATGGGGCTCCTGCTTCACTGGAGAAGTCAGGCCCATCAGAAGGCCTGGTCAGCAGGGCGGGTCAGCACCTTAGTCCCTCTGTGCACCATCCCCGGCAGGGCGGGATCTCACTTTAGGAAGGAGGCCCAGTGGGACTCAGTGGGAGGGTGAACACAGGGCTTTGAGATGTGCTCCTACCTGCCTAGGTGGGCCCAGGCTCCAGGGCAGAAGCCTCACCTGTGACTCATCGTAGGCAGCTCAGAGTGCCTCCAGCCACTCCCAGCTATAGGCCTCCAGATCTCAGGGAAATAGAGGACTTGAGATCTCTGGGGCAGCCCCCCACTTGTATACTATGGTTTCTCAAAGCATGAATACAATCTATAATCTTCAAATCACCCACTTTTTTTCCCCACTCGTCCTCTCTGTTAGGGTTCAGAGCACGCATGCATACCCACTGTGGTTTTCAAGTCACCAGGGCTGGGACTTGTAAACATATGGGATCCGACTTCTGTGCAGCGTTTAACTGCTGCAGTATGAGGCCAGTCCCCCAACAGGGTCTTGGCAGGACGATCCACCCCAAGCCTGAACCAGCTCCACATCAAGGGGGTGAGTGTGCCTGGTGTCCTCAGGGAGGTCTCTGGATATGAACCTGAAACCTCCCCATGTGGGTCAGCCTTGCAGAGCATTACATTTTCCCACTGCACCACCATCCTGCCTCTCAACCATCTCTCTACCTTCTCTGCCTTTCACTTTCCTCTTAGCTAAATAGGAATAAAAGGTCTAGCCTCACAGGGTCGTTACCATTTCTCATCCAACAACGACTACATGAGCTGAGAGGCACTTTGGAGAGTGCCTGGCACATAACAAGCATTCAATAAAGGGCAGCTATTTTACTATTGCTATGATTAAATATTTAGAGAATATCTCTTCTGCTAGGCATTGGGGATTTGGTGATCAGAAAAACAGATGCTATTATAGCAGATGAGGTAAGATAAAGGGTGTCTAGAACCTGGCATGAAGACCCCAGTAAATGGGGGTCCCCCTCCCTTTCTTCCCAGGAGCGTGTCCCAGCTGTGGGCACCCCTCCGTGGCCCTCAGTATTCACTGAAGCCTACAGACCTGATATGAGGTGGAGGCTGAGTAGACATATCTGGCTGGCACAAGACCCCAAGTGGTGCACCCAGTACCAGTCATTTTGGGGTGTGCCATCTAGAAAGATTTCCCTAGGGAGGAGTCCTGGAGAAAAAGTTGCCAGGTTGGAGCAAGCTTCGAAAGTGGCAGCTGAGTCCTGTCTCTTATCCACCTACCTTTTCAGCTAACTGTTTAGAAATGAGGTGTTGAGCCAACTCTGTAGCCTGCTGGTTAAGGGAGCTGGATTCCACATGGCTGACCATGGTTCGAATTCCAGGCTCAGCAGTTTTAGAAACATGCTGGGTGCATGTGTGTGCACCTCAAATTCCCTATAAGCTGGAGGCTGAAGGAAAAAGGATTGTGGTGGGACAGTGTCCCATTTGAGAGGTGTGTGCTTTCTCTCCCTCCAGTGAATTGGCGAATGTACATAGATGCCCACTGGCAATTAAAAAAAAAAAAAAGAAGAACAAGAAAAAGAAATGTTGCAAGAAAGCACAAACGCCCTATAGGAAAAATCTCTTCCAAAAAAAAAAAAAAGTGACATATCAAGCTACAAAAAAGACATGGAGAAAATGGAAAAGCATAATACTAAATGAAAGAAGCCAATCTGAAAAGGCTACATATTGTATGATTCCAGCTACATGATAACCTAGGGAAAAAAAAAAAAACTATGGAGCTAGTAAAAAGATGAATAATTGCCTGGGGTCAGGAGAAGAAAGTAAGATAGGCAGATCCCAGGGATTTTTAGGGTGACAGAACTATCCCGCATGACATAGTACTGGTGGATACATACCATTAAATGCTTGTCAAACCTACAGAATGTGTACCACAAAGAATGAGACCTAATATTATTGGCTCACTGATAGTAACAAAAGTACCTCACTAATGTGAGGGGCTCTTCAAGAAAGCTCGTGGAAAATGTGTATTAGAAAAAAATACCATACATAGATTTCAAAAATTTTGGCACCAAAATAAGACTCTTATTTAAATTAAAAAGAAATTGAGGTGTGGGGAGAACCAACAGATGGCATAATGGTTATATTGCTGGACTCCTACATGGTCGACCACAGTTTGAGTCCTGGACCTGGGGGTGTGTGCGAATGCATGCCTAAACTCTCAAGAAGAGAAAGGATTGCAGTGTGGTCAACACCACGGTGAGTGATTTCTCCCTTCCTGTCTCTCTGTCTTTCTCTGTCTCTGGTGAGTGCATGCACCCTATAGTAAAAATCTCTAAACAAAAAAAAATTTTTTTTAGGTTTTTGCCGTAGGGCAAGTGCACTCACCAGAAAGAGACATAGAGACAGAAAGAGATAGTGAAAAGGAAAGTGAGAAGTCACCCCTCAGACTAGAAGGCCACACCACAATCCTTTCTCCTCCATTCTCTTCTCAGGATATTTGGACACACACACACATGCACCTGGCATGATTCTCAAGCCACCAGATCCTGGACTCAACCATGGTTGGCCATGAGAGAGTACAACACCTTAACCAACACACCACGTGCTAGCCTAAAAAGCAAAAAAAAAAAAATTTTTGGAGAGGTTTTTGCTATAGGGCATGTGTGCTCACCAGAAAGGCAGAGAAAGACAGAGAGACAGAAAGCGAGATATCACCCCCAAGGGGAGATGGCCATGCCACAATCCCTTCTCCTACATTCTACTCTCAGGCTCTTGGTACGTACGCACACATGCCCAACGTGAGTTTAAGCCACTAGGTCTGGGACTCGAACCGTGGTCGACTACATGGGAGTCTGGTGACATAGCCATTACACCAACTGCTGGGCCCAAGGAAAAGATTTTAATTGCCAGAGGACATGTATGCTCTTGAGAGAGAGAGAGAGAGAGAAAGAGAGAGAGAGAGAGAAAACTTTCTAGTGGGGCACGAGCACGCTATAATCCCTTCTCCTCCATTTCTCCATCTTATCTGGATTTGGGGCACACACACACATGCACACCCAATGTGTTTTTCAAGCTACTGGTGCCAAACTATGAGCTACTAGGCTACACGTCTGGACCAAAACTTTAGTTATTTATTTATTTAGCCACAATCCCCTCTCTTCCATTTCTACCTCCTTTTGGGATTTTGGGCACCCAGCCAGCACATTTTTCAAACTGTTGAAATGAAATTTGAATGACATTGATGGCCACATGAGATCCAGCCACCTTAAACCTGTGAAGTTCCCTCACACACAACGTGAGAGTGGAAACCGTGTCTTGGGGAGACAGACATGAGAACTCTGTACATTCCTATCAATTTTCTGTAAGTCTAACACTGCTCTAAAAATGTTTTTTAAACAACTCGTGTTTAGAGCCAGCAGATGGTGTGGTAGTTAAGGTACTGGATTACCACATGGCCAGACCCAGTGACTGGAAAATCATACCGGGTGTATGTGCGTGTAAGCCCAAAATCCCAAGAGGAGAATGGAGTAGAAGGGATTATGGCATCGCCATCCCCCCAGGGGATGATTTCTTACTCTCCCTCTCTGTCTCTCTATCTCTCTCCGGTAAGCCCATCTGCCCTGTGGCAAAAACCTAAAAAAAAAAACAACAAACAAAAAAACCCATGTTCAAAGAATGCAAGCAACCTGACATTTCGTAAGCTCACCAAATCTGATCATGTTTTCCCATAATGTCTCTGACAGATTTCTCTGCCCTTAATCAAAGATTCTTGTTCTCAGTCAGGAAGGGAGTGATCTAGGAGGGGACGCTGAATACAGTATGAGGCAGAATCAGCGTCTTGAATCCTGTTCCCCTTCTCCCTCACGCATTCATTCCACGAACTTCGAGTTTCTATTCTGAGCTAAGTTCTGTGCTGGGTACTGAGGGTGTAACTGGCAACGAGCCACGGTCCCTTCCCACAAGTTATTCACAGTGGAAGGGCCAAGCAGGCAGGCAATGGCAGTTCATTGTGCTAAGTGTGAAAGCGTGGGTAAATTCAGAAGGTGGTGGGAGCATAGGTGAGGATCTAATGCAGCTAAGTTTGATCGAATGAGACTTCCTGGAGGAGGTGACATTAAAGCCAAGCCCCTCTGAGTAACAGTTAAAAGACAATACGAGGGACCAGCAGATGGCATAATGGTTATGTCTCTGGATTGCCACATTGTCGACCGTGGTTAGACCGTGGACCCAGTGGCTTAAACTCACACTGGGTGTGTGTGCGTGCATGCCCAGAATCCTGAGAGGAGAATGGAGAAGGGATTGCTGCGTGGCCATCCCCCTAGGGGGTGATTTCTTGCTTTCTAACTCTCTGTCTCTCAGGTGAGTGTATGCACCGGAAAACCTCCTAGGCTTAATCATCGGTCTGGAAGCAAAGACAGGCATCAGAAAGGAAGACACGTCACTGTGGAGTGTAAATAAAGAGCACATGTGTGCATGGCGGGGCGATGGGAGTAGAACAGAGTTGGAAGATGGGCTGCAGGGACAGAAAAGGCCCAGGTCAGAGTCTTTGACCCTCTCAGGAGCAGTGCCCAAGTAACCTAGCCAGACCTGCTCCCCGAGTCTGTGCCTAAGGCAGATGACGCGTCCTGAGGAGACTGGCCCAAGTCTCTTTTGAACACACTTGGTAGAAAGAGCGATCCTGTAATTACCGTGGCGATAATTAGAGGCATGTCCATGGCTCCTTTCAATAAACATTGCACAAGTTGTGGCCCTCTTGCTTGAGGTAGGGGAGAAGAACCAGACACCCCTCCTGGGGTGAGCCAATGCCTGTTTCTCCTGACTTCCTGGCTGAGGCCCAGAGGTGCCATAGGTACACTGGGACTGCTCCAACTTGGAGCAGAGTGCTGCTGGCTGGGGACCGAAAGTCCCTTCCCAAGTGTCACAGCCTGGGCAGTCTTCAGCCAACCTACAGGCCTCAGATTTAATCCAGCCTGGGTTTCTTAGGGGGCCTTCAAACCCGCAGAGATCTTGGCTGGGAGCTGGAGGGGCTTTCTTTATCCTGCCAGGCTCAGCCTGAGATGCTTCGGCCACCAGTCTTTAAGTCCCCACTTTGTCTTCCTGGGACCAGGTACACAGTGCCTCTGGGGCCTGGACACCCTCCCGGCCCTGGCAGTGCTATTTGGCTTCTTACAGAATCTGTATTCACGTGATTTTCCAACAGACACTTGGGGAGTCTTGGGTTTAGACAGAAAGAAGAAAATCTTTCTCATTTTCTTTCTTTTTTTAAGAGTGATTTTTGCTATAGGACACGTGCGCTTGCCAGAGAGACAGAAAGCGAAAAATCACCCCTGAGCGGGGATAACCATGCCATAATCCCTTTCCCTCCATTCTCCTCTCTGGATTTTGAGCATGCAAGCACACACACACCTGGCATGAGTTGTAAGCCACCGGGTCCAGGACTTGAACCACAGTTGACTATGTGGGAATCCAGTGACATAACCATTATGCCATCTACTGGTCCCTCTCCTCATTTTTGTTCTTTTTTTTTAAGTTTATTTATTTATTTTTATTATTATTATTATTTTGGAGAGGTTTTTGCTACAGGGCACATGTGCTCGCCAGAGAGAGACAGAGAGAGAGACAGAGAGATAGAAAGTGAGAAATCATCCCCCGGGAGGATGGCCACATCGCAATCCCTTCTCCTCCATTCTCCTCTTGGGATCATGGGCACACATATGCACGCGCCCGATGTGAGTTTAAGCTGCTAGGTCCGGGACTCGAACTGCGGTCAGCTACATGGGAGTCCACTGACATAGCCATTATACTAGCTGCTGGTCTCTTTAAGTTTATTTTTACTCATGATAAAGAATGCATGTGCATGCACAAAATGGGGGTGGCCCTTGATATGACCTGATCATCCTGTGATCCCTTTCTACCATCTCTCCAGTTCACTGGGATCCTGGGTATATGTGCATGCTTGTCTAGCACTTTCAGGTCAGCTGGGCAGTGGGCTTGAACCTGCAGTGGTCCATGTGGTTTCCAGCACCACAAACTGATGCACTAGGGACAGCATTATCCAGGCTAGACCTCACCTCATTTTTGACCCCGTACCTTACCTTCACCAAACTCTTTTTCCATCCCTTCTTCCACCAGATTTTTCTAGCTGGAAAAAAGTGGTCCTTTTGCTTCTAGGAAGGTGTTAGTCTTGTTCCCGCAGCAGCTCTTGTTCCAGTCTCCCAATATGAACTTTTCGCTGGGCTTAGCCTTCTATGACTCACTGGGAACTAAAGCCCAAGTGAATCGCTCAGACGCTCAGCGTGTCTTTTTCGTTTCATTAGCAACCTGCCTGATCTGTTTTGTTCTTAGGTCTCCAGAGAAAGAGCTTTGGCACCTCCCAAAGCCACTAGAACCAATGCCTTCTGGCTTTCCCATGGGATCTAAAGCCTCACTCTTGCCCCTTTGGGACTCAGAACGTCATTTTCAAGGGTACAATTGGCTTTCTGTGAAAGCACCTTGCAGAATTGTAAGAGCTAAGTGAATGTCAAGAATTTAGGTTGTTTGCTTTCTCATCTCCTCACAATATCCCCGCATTCCAGGGTTGGTGGTTAGGGGTGGGGGTTACCCATGGTTGCAAGTTGGTGTCTTGCTGGGAACCATGAGAGGATGGATCTCTGGTATTTTCTTGGGGCCTTGCCCCGAACCCTCTCCAGGACCTTGATCTTATCATCTGGCCCTTTCCCAGGGCTCTTTGGTAGAGCTTCAGAGGAAACACGTCAAACCTGACTGCTTCTGGCACCTGGCAGTGGGGGAAGGAGGAAGAAGGAGAGCTTGCTTCTGAAGGAAAAGCGTACTTGGCTCTCTCATTAAAGGGTTCCCCTTGGGGAACGGCAAGCAGCAGATGTATGGGCAATGGCCAACTGATCCATTTGGAGATAGATTCAGGGTGTGGTGTTCCCCGTAAGCCTGGGCAGGCCCTGGGAAACTGGAGCAGGGCTAGATCCTGGCCTAAAGTTGGGCAAGCTGCAGAGGAGCTTGGGTATGCAGGTTTCAGGTGTGCGAGCTCTGCTGGAGCATGGAGGGGGAAGGCTGTCAGTTGCCCAGACACGTTTCTAAAACCTGGAGCCACAGCGGCTGATCATTTTCATCCAAGAACATACATCTTTGGGTCTTGTCTCATGCCATTCCCTCTTCCTAGAGTGCCTTTTCTCCTGGCAAGCCTCCCTGCCTTTCGGACAGCTTCACTCCCCTCTGGGGAAACATTCCACTATGCCTGGGCCCTTAATTCCTCTCCTCCTCTCTCCCCCGGAGCCCCAGATTCACTCTGCTGGTGTCTGACCTAGCTTTATGACATTCACTTTGGTGCCTGCTTTCAGTCTTCCAGATGGCAGTTCCTTGACCCTTTTGCTCCTCTTGTCCCACTGCTGGGAACTCTTTTCTTTGCATGATCAGGTCCAAGTGTCAGCTCACAGGGCACATCTTCAGAGATAAGTAGCCCTCACTCCTACTCACTCTCTGTTCCCTTATCTTGTGTTATCATCTTTCATTTTCATTTCTTTGTGGGCTTGGGCTACCTTGGGCTTTTTCTAGAGTGTAAGCTTCTGGAGGGCAGAGACCCAGCAGAACGAAGGCAAGCGTGGGGTATTTGACTTGGCACCCCCAGGTCTTGGCACCAAGCCTGGGCATGATAGAGGTTGGTTGCGTGGACTATTTGCTAAATGAATGAATGAACCTAGGGACGTACGAACGAAGGAACGCCGCGCAGTGCCAGCCGACTGACAGGTTGACAGACAGTTGGGGACCCCTGGCCAGCAGGCTGATGACTGACGGTTGACAGCTGAGTGGCAGCCAGCGGACGCCCCTCCGAGTTCCTGATTGGCTGGTGCGGCAGCCCCTCGAAAAGGGGAGGGAGGGGGTTCGAGGCGACCG